ATAGAAAATCGCGAATTTCTAAAAAGTCAGAAAATCTACGAGCATTTTATAAATATCAGAAAAAGCTCCACGATTTTCCAGATCGATTTTCTATAAACTAGAAATTAATTCCAAATTACAGTGTAGTCTGAAAATAGCATCATCCGTAGGAAAATTAATTTTACGCCAAAAAGGAAGACTTCAGTAACCAAATGGGTTGTCGGTTATGAATCTCCACATCATTTAGTATACATTAGTAAAAAAGTTTTGAGTTTGAACGGGAGATTAATGGGCAAAAAATAAAAGTTTTTCCTAAGTGGTTTTCAGAACTGCTAGTTTCAGTAAAATTTGCGCGCCCTCCACCGCCCAACTTCAAACTTGTCCAAAATTTTATATAATGTTCTTCTACAAGCCCTCTATCATTACTGTTAACATAAATTAGCATAAACGTTCCCGGACTTAGATATGGGTTTTCCCAAAACCCTAGCTTTTCCAGGTATTTTCCATTTATCCCGATCCAGAAATGTTTTTATTTAATAAAAATGACATATTCAGAATCACCGCAGGAAACTACATCGAATGATGTGCGATTAGTAGGTTTTTCTGAGCAAAAGCTTGTTGGATCTAACGAAACACTAAAGTCGAAGCATAGCTTAACAATTTTTGCTAAAGATTTTGATATTTGCTATAGATGCAGCCCGAAAGCTTTTTTTATAGGTTTTCAGACATGCTCTTTCCAGTGTTGTGCCTTATGAAGTTCCATAATACTTATGTGTGGCTTTTCTAGAGAACCGGTCTTGGGAGAACCCAGATGAAAGTCTCTTTGTACTTATTAAAGCACACCATCGGAAAGAGCATATCTGAAAACCTTGTCTGACTGCTTCTATAGCAAACGTCCGCCTGGCCTGTGGAAAAATGCACACTGTGCCCACGTTCGTATTCTTCTCGAAGGTTCATACAGATTTAGTTTTTTCATGCTACATTTCATACACACTTGCGCATTCTTATACATATTTATGAAAAAAACAATAGATAGTTATTAACAGTTAAAAACAAATAAGAATTGTTAGATCGAATACTGTTTGAATAAATAAATAAATAGTTTAGAATTTTGATTTAATAAATGATCCAATTGTAAGGAAAACAACAAGCGTTATAACGGAAAAGCGATTAAACATGGCTTGTGCACCACAATATGCATCCGTATTTCCATCGGCACCTGGTGCTGTACATGTAGGAGAAAATTTGATCGCACAGCCTGCACTATTGCATGTCAGAGGTTTTTGGCAAACAGGACCGACATCGTAGGAACCGATTGGTGTTGACGGTGGATCACATCCTTTTGTTGTACAACATTTACAAAAGCATTTGACACCTAACGCTGGTTGCAGTATGATAGCCACCAGTAAACATAAGAGTAACACTGCGATAAACTTCATGCTATTATAAACCTAGAACAGACAAATTCTTTGGTTTTACTGTAGTTCAATTACACAAATATTTGTACTTAACCAGTTCACAAATTTCTGTACTTTCAGAATCTGTGTTCACAAATTTTCTTATCCATTTTTTTACGCGGAGAACAATTAATTCTTTTATTCATTAATCCATGTTTGGCTTGAACAATTTTTTTCTACATTAGGTTGAAGAGCGTGTGTTCGCTTACAGGACGGGAGTATTTTGAAAATTTTAACTCAAGAAGAGTTCACATTTATGATGTTAAAAAAAAGTTACTTTTGAAAAAAAAAATTTTTAAGCAGTTGCTCACGGGAAGTACTTTTCGATAAAATGCATATTGGTCAAGTACTCGAATCTGTTTCAGCACACTTCTAGATATGTCATTTTGAAAAACAATAATCACTCTATAGAATTTCGTTTTTGTGCACTAAGTACAAGTCCGTTTTTGCGCGTATAAATTTTGCGTACTTGAGAACAGAAATAATTCTCTCTCACGTCTCTTTCTCTGTTCTTCGTAGTTCATTCTCTATTCCATTATTCTCTCTAATTATCTCTTTTAAAGTAGCTGAAATAGAAAATATCAGTGAAAGTGGTGCAGTGGAAATCTATTGACTAAATTGATAACTTCTGGCAGCTGTCAGCAGAGACAGAGTCTGTCGACATCGCAATTTGTGCGCAGCACAATCGCTGTCAAGTTTTTACTTTTTCTTCTTTCCGGTTTCCAGTGTTCGATTCTTGATCAATATGATGCTGTTGATTATATATTGCTGTAGTATTTCTGTTATACTGTAAATATAGAGCATTATAGTCGTTGATAATACTGAAATTCGTCGACCGATGCATATTTCTGAATTGCCGCTAGTTTGACCAGTTCCATTTATGGTTGGCAAGAACAAATCTGACCTCAAAATGTAGTCTTACCAATAAACCTTTGTAAGAGAACATTATGTACTATCTATTATCCATTTCAAATTATAAGATACACTATCGGTTCTTCAAATAATGTTTGAAAGAAAGGAGACAGAGAGAGGAGGTTTTCGCCATTCGATAGCCAAGGCCATAGCTGGTAGTTCTACGGACAAAAACTCAAAAGCACTTTCCTTTAATTTGAAAACTTTTCTTGAATTTCAAAATATTGTGTAGATATAATAGAATTTATCTTGGTGTTCTGAAGTGGTTTGAATCGATTCTGAGTGAATTAGGAATATGTTTCATTTTCCATGAAAATAACCAAAACTGGGTTTTTCTGAACTTACATATATAATTACTAGTTTTTTTTGTGTTTTCTTCTGAAAACATACATTAGAATGCGATTCAAAGTGGTCGATAACCTCCGTTTTCGTTCATTTTCGAGACTGTCATACCCGAAGACATATCCATTCTCAGTATTTATCTGACTATTTTTGGATAACTCCAAAAGAGGTTTCCCGAGATTTTGATAGAAATGTTTTGTATTAATTAGTAACACAAAATTTCAAAAAGCGATAGCATTTTTTTACAAAATGGTATCATATTTCATATATAACGAAACTTAACATACCTTTTTGTTATATATTTTTTGTAACTGGCAATAATTTATTCTATTTTCACGTTTTGTTGTTAAGAGAACAAATGCAGTTTAGATTAGTATAAAAAGGCCACTTAATATGAGATGAGAAACGGTTATCTTGAATGACGTCAAGAACTAAAAACTATGTTTACTCACTCATTTTAGTACTTGACATCGATAAAATGATGCAAAAAGAAAAAAAAGTTATTGATCATAATATCATAAAAACATCTACGAAATTAGATTCAAGCTCAATATATTCACATCAAAATAAAAAGATAAAGGTGGTGATATGTGGAATGTATATTTAATCATATTAAAAGATTCTAATCGAATGACTAAAGAAAAATATTGGCTACTAATTTGCTTTTTAAACTAGAAGAAAAGAAGCTAGTACACAAATCAGTTAGGCGGTGTAGTTGTTTATCAATATTATAACATGTATGTCACATTGATAGAGCATACATGTTTAAAGAAATTAACTAGATATATGCGAACATTTAGTTTTTTTACGCGAAATTAACGTAAAAAGAATCACATCTGCATAGTGTTAAGTATTAAGCGTCATACCTCTTTCATTCGCTCACGCTGATAAGGTTAGATAAAGTAAATGTCGCTCATTTTCGTGAAAATACTAGTCTACGATTTTAAAAAATCGCTCTGATCTGTAGAGGTTCAAAATTACTCTGATTTATTTATGGTACTCTACATTTTTAGATATGGATAAGTACTGGCGACCGTCTTCTGTCTTTCAAACGGTATCCATGCACTGTTCGTGATCGGTATCATCAGCAAGGTATATAGAACTGTTAAATTTGTGTGGTTTCTCTGTGATAAGAGGCGAATCTGTTGATTTCTTTTACCTGACGAAAGTTTTCCACTCAAGCGAAAGCTTTTCTCTACGAGAAATGTCAATTTTCTCTAAAAGCTCAATAATGAGATGTGCCCCAATGTGCTGGAAAGTTAATCAGTTTTCCATCGGAAAGACAAGTATGAACTTAAAAAAACAGAGTTGAGTTCGCGTTAGAAAAAAACTGTGGCTCAGTCTGCTAGTGGGCACAACTTTTTTATGAAAAATAAAAATTAATTTATTACAGGATTTCACTTTAATAGTGAGTGTTCTTAGTATGTACAAAGAAAATGTTTATTTACAGATCTGGTCATAGATTATTTTTTCGGAGGAATGTTTAACTATAAATACTCTTATATCGTTAGTGTCTATGATTTGGATAGTAAACCGGACCCGCACCTATTCGACCATCACTGTTCAGATCAATGGGGCTAGCTTTTTCTAGTTTACCAACCAATCCCAACAGCAAAAAATCAGATTATATTGCGGCACATTCATATTACAAGATGTAAGAAACATTACCTCCACTAGGTGGTGGTCTATATCCACCTATGATCCCATCGCGGTTCAAATCGACATGCGTTGCCTGTTCTAACTTGGCGGTTGTACCTTCGAATGAAACACAAAGCATCCATCACTGAGAAATAAAATGTAACGACAGAAATGTTTACAAACTGAAGGTTCAATTCCATACCTGGACCACTAATGCCGCAACTACCGGCATTTAAAAGTCATTTAAAAAGCAACTACCGGCCTTGTATTTTGGAATGGATAATGCAGTGCTTCGTCTTTTACTCGCCTGTTTAATCACAATATCTTGACGTCGCCCTAAACCATACAATGTTCTATATTCCTCCCTTCTCATATTGGGGCGAAACGCATAAGAAGAAAAAATTGTTACCACATCGTACTCAGCGTAATTAATAGTTTGTTCCTGGTTTGTTAGATCTTCCTCTAACGTGCTTCTTATCGATAACGATTGTTGATCATATGATAAGCGGATGACAGAAATAGCGACTAATTCTTCTGCAGTCTCCATCCATACTCTTTCAAACAAACTCGAATTTTGCGGTACAGTTATGTCAAAAAAGGAAGACGATAAAACAATGAAAATGATTTGCACTCTCGTTTAAAGCGCTTCTTCCCATTTGTGATATTAGTGTATTGTGCATACATATTAGTCCTAGTTTTCAATATATTTTTAGATTTCATTAATAGAAAGGTCGAAGAAAAGGTGGGAGTGGATTTAAATGGTGGCGGCGGCATTAGTGGTCCAGGTATGGAATTGAACCTTCAGTTTGTAAACATTTCTGTCGTTACATTTTATTTCTCAGTGATGGATGCTTTGTGTTTCATTCGAAGGTACAACCGCCAAGTTAGAACAGGCAACGCATGTCGATTTGAACCGCGATGGGATCATAGGTGGATATAGACCACCACCTAGTGGAGGTAATGTTTCTTACATCTTGTAATATGAATGTGCCGCAATATAATCTGATTTTTTGCTGTTGGGATTGGTTGGTAAACTAGAAAAAGCTAGCCCCATTGATCTGAACAGTGATGGTCGAATAGGTGCGGGTCCGGTTTACTATCCAAATCATAGACACTAACGATATAAGAGTATTTATAGTTAAACATTCCTCCGAAAATCTCAAAATCTCACACACGCACACACACATAGCAGGCTTGGCCTGTTAGCAGTTTCAGAATGCACAGATAGAGTTAGTTGTCGTGTTTGGAGCATTTATTAACAGTAAAAGAGCAAACTATACACTTACGAGGGAACCTCCTGAGGTGCTAAAAACCTTTTCGAATGGGACTATTTTTAACCATGGTATCAAAACGGCCATGGACGGACTTAGGTCATCTGGCTCAAGCGCTAGAGTAGATATACTCTCGAACTTACATGGCTAGACTCCTTTTGAGCTGCTGAATCCGGATATGCGTGTTTGAGAAAACTGGATGAAGATGCTGCTACTAACCATTACTGCTGTAAATTTCTGATAGTTTAAAACAAGATGCCGCTGGTATAATGCCTAAATAATAGAGATAAAATTTAAAAATTTCCAAAAAATCAACGTCGCATACCTGTCGAATTAATTCTGTGGATAAATGTAGCTTGAAGTATCGATTCAATGTAATTAGACGAATTATTTTCAAATACTGTACCAATGAGGGTTCCATCAGTTTTAAATAAAATCAATGGGTCGTAATGTTTTTTGTCACAATCATACAATAAATATGCAAACCCTATTAAATTATTTAAATGTTCACCAGATGATTGAACACTTGTAATTCTTGCATCTTTCAAAATTAAAACGCGAAAATCAATTAAAAAGTGTTCAACGAATATTTGTAAGTCATCTGCACCACCCCAAGATCCTTTTTGTGTAATGAACTGACGATATTCATCACGCGGTCTGCCGTTGATTTCGACATCTGATGAATACTTCTTTTTTAGTTTTTCTGCTGCTAAATTTCTATAGTCTTGTGTTGTCCAACCGTTGTTGATAATTTTTCTTATTGTATCGAATAAACATGAGCCATCTTCCTCACAGGCCGAGTATCGAACGAAAACTAATTCCTGATTGCTGTAATCAGTTGTAGCAGTCATATCTATCTGAAATGATGAAGTAGGTGTTAGTGATTATTGTGTACATCTGTAGTGGAATGAAATAGATTTGCTAAAGTATTCCTTAGATCGACAAAATTTTTCTCAGTTTTTAAGACAACATACCATATATCGAGAGTCTATTGGCTAACATTCCGATAATGGAGATTATCAACATCATTTATGACAAGCAGTACTACAGAGATCCAAAACTAAATTTTGTTAAACAAATTTTATTTATTATTACAACCCATTTTCCGTCGTTTTCTTGAATAATCAAGAAACTCATAACTTAATCAAGATAAATAGAAATTGCTTCGGAATATCAAAACAGGGGTCATTTTATCTACTCAACTCGGTTTCGGTTCTAAGATCAATAAAATCTATTCTCGTACTTCTAATAAGGCCAAAGTACTTTCGATTGATGCTCAAAAATTTTTAAGTACAAGGTGTAGTGCAGGGAGTCATAGCATATCTTGATATTCCGAACCAGTTTGTATCGATCATGATTAGATTATGGGTTTTCTTCTTGCGTTTGATGTGTAAATAGGCTTTCTTTAATAATTCTTCTCCGCCAGTTTGTCTCAAGAGCTAGAGTTTCACATAGTGTAAAATCAGCTTTTCTTTATTAACATGTTTAGCCACGTTCCAGGATTCAGTTTGTTTCTTAATGTCAGCCTGATGTTCTTTCATTCTAGTTTCTTTTCTCTACTGGTTTCTCCAATGTAACATTTTCCACAGTCTAAGCACAATATTTTATATCCTATTTTCTTTTTCTTCCTTGATTCATCCTTGATATCTTTTTGGATGGAAAGAAGCACGCTCCTAGTTGTAAAAGAAAAACTTTAGACAACTAGGAGTGTTATTGGTATATTTACTGTCGTCACAACGATGCAACAGAATCTTGATAATAATCAGAACCGTCTCAATGATTTAGAGATAGCTGCTCGTAACCGTGATCAAGCCAATGAAATGCAAAAAGATGTAATTTATAGCATATTTCATTTATATGAGAATTGTTTAAAACTAAATTATAAAATCGTCATCAGAATGGTATGATGTGATACAATTCCTCAGAATACAGATCAAACAATGTAAATCACGATTTCGATAGTGTATGCACATTGAGGATAAAACTTCTGTGACTTTCTTTTACTTGCTCTATCTCTTTCTCTTGCTAAATATTCTTGTCACGTACAATGGTTTTTCCTTTCTCTTTACGGTGGATATATCTCACCTTTCATTCACTGATTGAGCATTATTTTATCTGGCAGATGATGGCAATCTTTTTCTTCTGTTACGAAAAGCTTAACTAGTCAAAGTTATTTGTCACGTAGCTGGCAATTATAAATTCTTTATTATCTCGTGTAAATAACTGCCTCAAAAACCGAAACACTCGAGTAAACGTCATTCACTTCAACTTGAATTAAATTTATAGACAGTGTTGATGACAAAATCTCGTACACGTTGTGGTCTGAGATTAGAAAACGTGCTCAAAGTCGGAGCAGCCTTTCTCGTTCCTTTCATGATTGGTATATTTACTATCGTCACAACGATGCAACAGAATCTTGATAATAAGCAGAACCGTCTCAATGATTTGGAGATAGCTGCTTGTAACCGTGATCAAGCCAATGAATTGCAAAAAGATGTAGTTTATGCTGCCTGTATCAAAGATATTAGCGAACTTTTTATGAAAGACAGTCACAATCTATCTGAAAATGAACAGCAAAATCGGTATGCATTTGCCTCGGCTAAAACAATGACCACACTTGAACAAATCGATGGCAAACGAAAAACCTACCTTATCAAATTTCTGTATCAAGCCGGTCTTCTTGATAAACGCAAAACGGTAGTTGATTTAAGTGGAGCAAATCTGAATGGCACTGATTTAGGAGGTTCACTCGATACGCCACTATCATTGAATTACATAACTCTTCGTTATGTTAGTTTATTAAATGCATCGTTTGTAAATGTTAATCTCAAGGATGCTGATTTCAGTGGATCGATATTGAATGGTGCCAACTTTACATCGGCAAATTTGGCAAAGACTAATTTTACCGGCTGTGACTTAATTCAAGCCGATTTTAGGGGAGCCTACATCTACTGAGCACTGTTTAACGATATTGATTTGACTGGCGCATCTCTCTCCGACACACCCGAAGTCATTCTAAATTCTATTATACCGAATGGCTCGTATATCTATAACACTACAGACTCAATGCATACGGATAATTTCAAAACGATAAATTTAGTTCAGAATGGCGATGCCAAATTAGAGAAATGTACAAATGACAGTGATAAATTACCCGCAAGATGGAGCTATTATACGCAACCTGTCGGTCGAGTGATTGATTGTTCTGCATTAAAGTATCTTTGGAGACACATTAAACATGCATGGTATATTAGTCAGTTTTGATTGGTCTTAACAAACAAAATTCAACATCATCTACTAGTGCATGCTATATCAAAGTCCAAGTAAACCGAAAATCAACATATGCGATCGTCGACACTGGATCCGCCATCACGATAATTCACCAAAATCTTCTAAGGACTCTTTATCATCGAAAATTCATCGGTAAGAAAACCGACTGTCAAGCAGCTAACTCTTCATCGATCAACATCATTGGTCAAGTGGAATTGGAAATTAAACTTGGAAAAATTAAAACCTGCATAATAGCAGACGTCGCAACAAATCTAATCACATCTCTTCTCCTCGGAAATGACTGGATAAATCCTAATCACGTACATTTACTCGACGATGAACAACGCCTGACAATCCCAGCAAAAAACGGACAACTTATCTCATTCCCGTATATCGCTTTACCTGACCTTAACTATCCAGTCTTCCTCGTGAATCTAGTGACCATTCCTCCGAATTCTCAACAACTTGTGGACATCAAAGTTCAACTCTCTGGGGCGGAGAACTTGACTTTCCAGCCTATTACAAATTATCTCTTAAAATTTTTATTCATCCCTAACACCTTGCTAAACGTCACTGATCATACGGCAAAAATCCTCGTCATAAACGCTTAGGATCGTCAACGTACCCTATCCAAAAATTCGAAAATTGGCATGATAAATAGATATCCAACGTTTGAAGTATGCCTTACCATGCAACAACCACGTAGGAAATCTCCTACAACTCTAAAACCTGTTGGATTCTTATATTCGGAAGAAGTCCGTAGACACATTCAAAATCTCACACAGCACATCGAACATCCAAAACAAAAGCAGCAGGTCGAAGAGATATTATGGCATAATAAAGATTTATTTGATTCGGGTCCAGCAATCGTTAATATATCTCCTCAATCAGCAATCAAAACCGGTGATTATCCTCCCATTTATTCGAAACAATATCCTGCTTCCGAGAGGGATCAATAAATAAAAACTATAGAAACTCAAAAATTGTTAGAACGTGCCCAGATCGAAGAATCAACTTCTCCATGGTCATCTCCCGTCGTTCTCGTCAAGAAAAAAGATAAAACAACTCGTTTCTGTATTGACTATCGCCGTCTCAATGCTCTAACAATCAAAGATGCCTTTCCTTTACCTCGAATAGATGAAATATTTGACCAACTGTCCGAAGCCGTCATCTTCACAAAATTTGATTTCAAGAGCGGATACTTTCAAATTCCCCTAGCAAAAGAAGATCGTCCGAAAACTGCATTCTCCACAAGGGACAATCATTATCAGTTCACTGTCTTGCCGCAAGGAGCCACTAATGGACCGGCGACATTTCAGCGTGTTATCAATCATATTTTCGGTCCAACTCGTTGGCGATACGCATTGGCTTATATAGACGATATCATCATTTATTCACTTATCTCATCTGGAAGAAATTTGTCAACTCCTAAAAGAAGCAAACTTTCGTCTCAATTCGGAAAAATGTGAGGTGGCTCGTAATTAATCTGTAATCTATTCTAATTAATCTGCATACCATAGTACAGTTGTCTTGGCGGGTGGTTTAGTTCATACGAAGAATGTACACTGGAACAGAACAATCTTATGAATCTCTCTTCGGAAACCAACAGTCTTTCTGCATCCTTACCCTTAAGACA